GAGAGAGAGAGAGAGAGAGAGAGAGAGAGAGAGAGAGAGAGAGAGAGAGAGAAAGACTCAAGGGACGGCCGGGGCGGGGGCGGGGTGGCAGGCGACACGGCAGGCGATTTGAATATCAGGCTCTGCCACACTCGGGGCGCCGCTGACAACTTCATTACCTCCGCATATAAAAATGACTGCCGGGGAATGCAAATGGCTCGCGCGTCTCGGCCGCCTGCCCCCGCTCCGCCGCCGGCTGCGGGCCCCGAGCAGCCACTGCGCCGGGGTAATGAGCGGCCCAAGGCGCCTCCTTCCCGGCCGGCGGGCAGAGCCGAGTCGGCGGCCAGGACATTGCCCAGGCTCGGCAGTGTCTCCCGAGCCTGGCTCTCGGCTCGCATCCGGGCACCGGTCCTAACCCTGAACCCTGATGGCGCGGGTCCTGCCCATGCCCAGGGTCACCACCCCCAGGGACGCCTGGCCTTAGCCTTAAGGAGGGTTCTCATCTACCCAGCAGGGAGGGAGGGACTACAGTTCCGGCTCCCTAGCCCTTCAGGTCCTACTGCCACCCGGAGGACACCCAGGCACCTGCAGGACCCGCGTCCCTAATCCTAGGCCTGTGTTCCTCCGGATGGAAACTAAGGCAAGCCATGTGCAAAGAGGAAAGCGGTATTTACTAGAGCCTTCCTTCTATGGCACAGAAAAAGGGAGGACCCCCTCCTTAGCAAGAAGTCACACCTGGTGACAGCCATGGAGGGTAGAATTAGTCCATCCGCGTGAAGGTAGCGCTGCAATCACCGAGCGCACCTTTGAGGCTCTCTCTACATTAAGTGCAAGGCACTGCGCCTGCTTTACGCGACGTGTGCCACACACCCTACGGCTCTCCTGGAAACTGCGGTTTAGGAAATAATGGAAAGAAGCGCAAGGGAACCCAGGTAGGAAAGGGACATACTCCCCACCGCTCCGCGAAGTTTCTTCATGAGCCCTTCTTGTGGTACATGAAGGGGACCCGCACTTCACTCCACTCCGGCCATCCCCACCCCGCTTCTCCCATTATGACCTGAGATCCGGGCAAGCTCTCTCCATCTTCCACGATCCGTCCCTTGCCGCGTCCAAGGGTTAGTTTGGAAAGAGTGTGACCAGTCCTAAACACCATTTGAAGGGCCATCGGCCGGAAGACCCTGAGGAACAGGAACATCTTGTCCTAAGAAAGTGTCTCAAGGAAGAGATTCCCATTCCTCGGCTGGGTGGGGTGTGACTTTTACCTGGTAACCCCGGAAGAGCAAAGCGACAAAGCTGCCCTTTGCCGTGGGAGAGTTGAGTCCTTGGAAACTTGCCAAGTTTTATGTTTTAAAAGCTACATGAGAATAAGCTACATGAGAAGAGCAAGGCCGTGTCTGAAAAAAAGGGGGGGGGTGGGGGGGGGGGGGGAAGGAAAAGAAAAAAATAAAAGATTTTTTTTTTTTTTTTTTTTTTGGTTTTTCGAGACAGGGTTTCTCTGTGTAGCTTTGCGCCTTTCCTGGAACTCACTTGGTAGCCCAGGCTGGCCTCGAACTCACAGAGATCCGCCTGGCTCTGCCCCCCGAGTGCTGGGATTAAAGGCGTGGGCCACCACCGCCCGGCAAAATAAAAGATTTTTATAGTTTATTTTAAATCGTGTGCATTTTTCATCAAAAAACAAAACTGTGCAAAAAAAAAAAAAAAAGGTACTGTGTTTTAGTTTTGGAGTCAGGTGCCAATGACCTCAAATGATTGTTTCCCTCTGCCAAGGAAAGAAACCCAAATTCCTGAGCAAGACCTTCAAGACCCTCCAGGTCTTCGCCTAACCTGACCTCATCTATCTACCACTATCACATTGCTGTGCCCCTTCCCGTGACATGCACTGCACTGTGTTGGATGTCCACAATCTCTAGTGTGCCCTTGAACTCCATCTCCAACCATTTAAATACTGCAGATTCTTTCAGGTCCGCCTTAAATCCACTTCATTCGACAAGCAGGTGTAAGCCACCTCTGTAACTAAAGCTGGCAGATGCAGGGTTCACCACCACCTTAAAGACCCCACCACCACGTTGCTTACATATACTCTCGTGTGCTACAGTGGCATCTCTGTGAACCAGAGACCATTAAATCCAGTGGAGAAACTGAGACCCTGGAGTTTAAGAAACTTTCTGGAAATTATGCTAGTTAATGATGGTGCGAGCAAGCTTCCTTCTTTTCTTGTTGGTCTGTAAGGGCAACGATGCTTTTGATGATTAACTTGAAGGGCAGAATTCCCTCCAACCAGGTCATCCCATTAGACCCTTAATTCGAGGTAGTAGTGCCCATTCCCACACAACTCAGAAGGGTGAGGACCTGGAGACAAAGGGCATCCTCTAGCCCCCAGCCCATCACAACCGGGGATGCTACCTTCTACCCCCTCGGGTCTCACACACAGCTCCCTGATATCTCCTCTAGCCCCTAACGCCTACTCATTTCTGCATCTCTTCAAATCTAGCTCTCAAGGGCATCCTTAGCCAAGCTCTGGCTCCCGGTCTGATCTGCCCGAGAAGAATGAGGGAAACAGGATGGAAGTGAGCATTGCTGACCCTCCGTTCCCCATCACAGTGAAATTAGAGCCCGACAGTATGGTGAGAGTCTGATGGTTCAGGGGGTCAGCCCTAAGAACAGGGGGTTTCATTTGTGGGGCTGGGGTGGAACCCAGGCGCTTGCACACGCTGGGTGAGCTATCTCTACCACCGAGCTCTCCCTCCACCCCACACAGTACATTTTTAAACCTCATCTTCTTGGTTGGATGTCCCCCCTGCAATCAGGGTTTGGATTTGGAGGCCCGGGAACCTGTATTGAAAAGGTACGGAATTCTTCCATTAGCAGCTTTCAAGCCCACCAGCCATTCTGATCAAGTCATACATCTCTAAATAGAAAGATCTAGGATGTGCTCCAGTTCACTCGGATTTTTAAACCATTAAAGCACAGCTAAGGAAATTAAACCTAACCACCACTTCTCTTCTTCCTCTTCTCCTCTTCTCCTCTCCTTTGACCAACAATTGCTGCGATCCACACTAATGAGGGAGAATATGTTAGGAACTTTCTTCACTTAACGTTGCTCATTATTAATAAATTTCGCACTGACAAGTCTAAAGCGAACACTTTGGATTTATGCACCTAACCTAATTACATATGCCGCGTGTACGCATTTCATTATTTGCTTGACAGATTCATTCCTTGATATCATAAATAATTAAACAAGAATCAAATATTAACAATCAGAGACATGTTAATTCTCCTCAAATCTGAAGAAACAAACTATATTTTTATCTTCAGTTCAACAAGCATTGATTAAAATTTCTTCATTAGGAAAATTTCATAAGCAAAGTTCCCGGTCCACTTTTATTTCATCAAAAATTAAACCTGGAACAAATTGGGCTATTTCATGGGCACAAGTGAACACAGCAGTATTTCAGCAAACCACTGGATTCACAATTTCTCACTTGCAGATCTTATGTCTGAAGCATGCATCTGTGTGTTCGTTAATTTTCAGGTGCTGTTTTTACTATGCGCTGGAAACCGGTAGGATATTGGCAGCTAGTAGCATCTGGCCAGAGACGCCATACCTTGTGGGACAATGGTTTTAACCAGTTATTTTACTATGCAGTTAAATCCAAGGCACTGTGGATGAGGGCAGAACTCAATGACTCTGGGCTCCGAGTTTTCTCAGCTGTTGCTCTTTCTGCATCCATGAGTGGCTTTAAGGTCTTCTCGTCATGTACATCAACATCTTCCTTGATCAAACTATTCTCACATTTTATCTGATTTGCTTTGGTAGAGCACACCATACAATTTCATCATTTAAGGAATATTAAAGATTCATAGATAGCCACATTACTCATAATACAAGATTAATGCTGGGCTGACAGGTTTTTGTAAAGATCTGCCTCTTTTTTTTTTTTCTCGGTGCAGGCACCATATCTGTGTGAGATGTGCCTTTGATGTTGCATATTGATTACTCCCTTCTCTTCTCTTTGAGTGCTAAAGAGAGAATATTATAGAATGATTGTCAGGGTCAGTGTGCCTCTGACCTACACATGTATGATTAATAATTTATGAATGGATTTGAAATACAGCACCAGGAAACCCATGGAGGACCAAGGCTGCTGCCTAAGGCGACACAGACTAGGGGCTGACAACATGTGCACCCACACTTTGAGGCTGTTAAAACCTCTAAAGAGATGCAGACACTCCAAGTGTCAGGGTTAGCAGAATGGAAGAAAGATGCACCTTTGTTAGAAATTTCAAGTGCATTTATCTCTTTCCATCTACAGCGTGGAGATTTCCTTTGAACATTATTTAATCGCATTGTTAACTCATCGTGTCCATAAATAGTACAGAGCCTCAATTCAAATAGTATGGGAGATAAAACAAAAGCCAGCTAGCTCTTTCTCCCTGGGTGCCCTGGGTCTTCACACCCAGGTTTTCACACCCAGGTTGTGGTAGTGTCTCCAGACTGTTTTCTGTGTTCATGCAGGGACAGAGGAGGTGGGGAACGCGTGTCCCCTCTGTGCTCAGAAGTGGTAAGGTACTGACATGCTGTGCTGCGACTTGGTCCTCCCACTCAACACGGTAACACGGATACCCCAGCTCATCAGCACATCTGTCTGCTGCTCATTTTTAAAGTCAGTGCTCCATTTGATGGATGCCCTGTGCCGTGTTTACCTACACCCTTCCTGATGCATTCCTAAGTGAAAAACAAGGCCAGACTATAATCCTGGTAATCAGAGGCAAGAGGGTTGGGATTTCAGGGCCAGCCTGAGCTACATAGCAAAACTGTCTGAAGAACAAAAACCAGCCACAAAAATGCCATACATATTGAACATGCATTTATGAATTCGCTGACCTCCTACTTTCCGGTAGATTCCTATCAGAGCAATCACTAGGTCAATAACTGACCTTTGAAACTCCTTAGCCCATTAATTAGGCAATAATTAAAATATTCTTATTTGAGCTTTAGGTAATATACTAGTTGATTAATAGAGGTGCCCATAATATTTAAGGACATTTTAAAGGAATGTATTTTTTAAAACCTTAATAATACAGAATAATGAAGAAAAAGTTTTAAGCTTCAATTTCCTTAGTTTTCTGTGTGAGGAACTCCATGCAAAAGCAAACTAAAGCCTCCGTGTTTAATGCTTTAGTAATATGTCATCAGACTCCGTGTCTGTATAGATTATATTTAGCATCAATATCCCAGCAGCCAGTTTTCATTTTAGCCATGCAATAGACAACTAACACCTTAAAGACGTGCTTATAGAGATTGACATCTGTTTAATGCTTCTCAAAACAGACTCAAGGAATTCTAGCTGCGGAAACTGCATCTGGGAAGTCAAATTAATAACCACGCTGTTGTGTTTATTTGAAACAATCACACGCAAGTGTGTTTGTAAAATTCTCCGCACTCAAATTGTCTGAAGCCTTCTCCGTGACTGCAACGGTACCTAGAGTGTCTGTCAAGTTCTATTATCTGAAGTAGAATATGCTTTCAGAAAAGATGCCCTGCATCCGATGACAGGCCCTTCCTATCTGCTAGGACTCATAAAAATTGGAACATTGATCATTTCTTGTAGAGATTTGCTTTAGCAAGAAGATAAAGGGGAAAAAACCTTGTTATGCCAAATGACTGACTAGTCAAAAGTAGCCAGGACATTGAAACCTGAAAACTAGTTAATGGCTTGTAACAAGTCAGAAATAAAGATGTTCAACCAAGAAAGTGACATTAAGTAGCACTGGCTATAAGAGGAAAGAGCAGCCTGTCAGAATCATGCTAGGGCTGCAGTGACAGCTAAGGAAAACCGGATGACAGGGCTTCCTCTCAGCAGGGGAGGCTGCCACAGCTGCCTCCTGGGAGTTCCCATGCACTTCCTCCAAGCAAGCCTTCCCTCTAAAGATGGCAGCAGAACCCTTGGAGGCCTTATTAAAATTCTCTTTCTGTGTTACAAAGTGTGTCACAGAAGGCTGTTGACAGTGCCCAACAGTTCATTCTTCAAGGCACAATGGTGGGGGGAGCGCAGGGGAAGGCGGGGGGACGCCAGTCACACCCGTCAGGTAGCTCAGGGGCTGACAAGCCAGTACTCTGCACAGTAGGCTTTGAGAAAGAGGAAATGAGCCCCAGGGAAGGTGGGCCACAACCCCTATGGCGGCGGCAGACAGCATGAATCCAAACAGAAGCAGTAAGGCACGGAATTCATATTTCCTGCGTAGACCAGTGTGTGTGATATCCGCAAATGAAATTCGGATACTAGCTTAAGCCCTCACAGTGTGTGGTCCAACAGCATGACTGGGCTGGAGAACAGAGCTCATAGAGCAGACAGGAAACAGAACCCAGTGGCCGCCCAAAGATCTTCACAGCACTTGTTTATACAGTCCAAAATAACACTATTGTCGCTTTGCGCTGTTACGTAGCTGGGTTCTAGCGTCCTTACATCATTTCATATGTCTATTTAAAATGTTATAATGCTTCTAAACTAATTTCCAACAGAGTAATGGCTGGGAGAGCCATCTCTAAACCATTTCTCTCTCTTTTTCCTCTATCCTCAGCATATTTCAAGCTGGATGACAAAATAAACATTTCATAACATTTTTCAGCTAAAATTTTTTTCTACTAATGTCATCTCAGCCAGTGGGAGGTCTATGTTTCCACACAGCAGTGCTACATTTAAAATTATTTCTGCTATAGATTAGCTGTCCCTTAGTGAGCTTTGAAAGATAAAATCTTAGCCTCTTTAAGCCCATCTTGCTTGACGGCATGCAATATTTACGTGAAATAAAAAGCAAATATTTGTTCTTTTCATACGAGCTGTCAGTAGAAACTTGGGTTGTTTAGAAACCTGTTCAGACAAACAGAATTGGTTTTTACCACACGATCTATGCTAAAAGGTCAACGACAGGTAACATCGGAGCTTATTTGAAAGAAAAGGAGATGTAACATGCATTTATGGAATCAAAGGTGTTGTGTTGGCCTTTAAATTACCGAGTGTATTGACAGCTAAAACTTTTTTGTTTTTTTTTTTTTTTTTTTTTTTTTTTTTGGTTTTGTGAGACAGGGTTTCTCTATGTAGTTTTGGTGCTTGTTCTGGATCTCACTCTGCAGACCAGGCTGGCCTCGAACTCACAGAGATCCCCCGGCTCTGCCTCCCTGAGTGCTGGGATTACAGGCGTGTGCCCGGCTTTTTGTTTGCTTCTTTAAGACGGCATGCGTTGGGCTGGTGAGATGGTTCAGCATGTGAAGGCCCTTTGCCATGCAAGCGTGGTAACCTGTGTTGAATCCCCGGAATCCATTTAAAGATGGAAGGAAAGAGCCAACTACACAAAGTCATCCTTGGACCTCCACATATGTGCTATGCTATATATACATGGGCATACATACAAATATACCATGCACACAGACACATACATTAATACTTTTTATTTAATTTTTTTTTTTCATAAAAAGAAAGCGTGGTTTAAAGCTCGGTGTAGTGATACAGACCTATAATCCCAGCATTTGGGAGGCAGAGCAGAGGACAAATCCAAGGGCTACAAAGCAAGACGCTGTCTTAAACCCGCTCCCCACTAACCAGAATGCCTGGCTTCATTTTAATTTTATGCTTGCCAGAGTATTGACTTCAGGTCTACTACAAGGATATAGGCAGGAAAAAAAAATGTTTGCTACCTTGAAAAAATCAATTAAACTTGTTTCGGGTCTGGGGTCTCTGAGGAACCTTCTAGCGGCTCATAGAAACACGCTCTGAAATGAGGGGATCTGACATAACTGTGGCCCAGTCAGGGTCATGGAGCCAGCCCAGCTAGCTGCCCAAACAAACTGTGCTTCTGCTTGGGGACTCGGTCACTCGTAAACACACAGGAGCAGGTAGCTGTTCACCCTCCTCTCAGACAGACCCTCATGCTGGGGGCAACTTGGACACGCCCCAGACAGCATCCATTCTGAAGTCATGAACACGGGACTTGGTTCTGCCTCCTGCCCACAGTGTCCCATCTGCTGGACCGACATTTAATCTGTAAACTCCATCTCCAGGAATAACACCTATTGCTATTAACCAGAAAATAGCATCTTTACAAGATTCCCTGAAAGGAGACCCTGTCAGCGCCACTCAGGCTACCTCCAAAGACAAGTCGTTGTAATTACTTTCTCCTCTCCGCTGCCCTGTCTGGATAAAGCAACAAGAGCAGGAGAACCTATTCATTCTCCCCAGATGCCTTCCAAAATGCACATCTGCTTTGCAGGCTGGATCAGAAATTTCATTATCTGTATCTGTATTGGTAATTCACTGCACAAAGAAAACAGGACCAGCGGAGGAGAGCGAGCAGGGATGCAAACATCAGACAACTGCATGTATGCAAATGCTTTCAGATTTCTGCCAGCACGTCCCTAGGTATCACCAAGCAACAGGGAAGGGCGCTCATTCCTCTGACTTTTTTGCTACCAAACGTGATTGTGATTTTGGAGGAAAATATCAGAAAACCTTGAACTTCCAGGCACAGGGACTACATCTAACTCAAAATCTACATCAAAGGCCAACAAAAAAATAAAATGTATGGTTTTTGTGTTTTGTTTTTTAGGATGGGAGATAATGAAGCTTCTTTTGAAAACAAGATGCCCTGTGAGGGAGCGGGGAGGGGTGCTTTGTGAAGTTTTCCAGCCTGGTTGGCAGAGAAGTAAAACCCTGTCGCTGAGGTCACACATGTGCATAAACAGCCTACGGGGGGAAAGGCAGATAACAAACCGGAAACACATGCAATAAAGGAAATGTCCAAATTCAAACTCTTAAATACAAGCGCTCAATCTCAAATAAATATTCAGGAGTCAGCAAGACTCAGCATGTATTTGGTTTGTCTTGAAATCGATTATTTCAAATAATAATGGCTACAGGCCTTTGCAGAACTTCATTTGGGTTTTGTTGTTTTTTTTTTTCTATCCATCGAAGATCAGTAATGGCAACGACTCACCCATATGTGGACAGTAATTCAGCTCATCCTCAAAATTACGCTTGAGGATATGGTCAGTTATAGTCTTCTTACACGTAAAGAACCGAGGCTCCAAAATGCAGAGATTTACTCAAACTTGCACAACCCATAAATAGCAGGACAGTAATTCAAACTCTCACGTGGGACTTTGAAGGCCAAGTGTCAGCACACGGCTGTGGCTTGAGTGCCTCTCCAAAACCATGTTGGAATTCCATTCCCCTTCGACAGCTCTAAGGAGTAGGACCCTAAAAGGTGATTAGGTTATGACAGTAGCAGCCCCATGAGTGGATTGAGGCTGTTATCACGGAAGGGAGTTAGTCATAACCCAAGGATGTGGATTCGTCAGAACATGGCTTCATAAACTGTGGGTCAGGTATGAGGTGGCAATACCTGAATTTGGGGGATGTAAAAAAATGGCAATAGTGAGACTCCTGAGCGCACAGTAACCAGTGGTGATTTGATGACCAACATCAATTCAACATCACACGTATAAGGAATCCCAGATGTTTCTGGCAAAGCTCACCTTCGTTGCCTTTCATGACTTCATGGCAGCCTTGGTTCTGAGAGCACAGTGTGAGCAAGACAAAGAACCCAGCTCGTTCTGTCCTTTAGAACAGTCATGTCATATATGTTCCTGTGTCTACCCTCAGAGTGGAAACCCTCAGAATAAGGAGTGTATGTTTATCATTGCGTCCCCCAGGCCCAGACACGTGCTCAGACTTTTCATGTGAATTCATTCATTAAGCTACTCTAGACACATTCGTTCGCTCATTTCAACTTCTAGGACATCTTGTCTTTTTATCACACAAAACTGCACAAAGTCTCAGACCAATATGCACCCTGTCACACCCGAGGGACAGGATCCCAACAACAAAAGCAGATACGCTGTTTGGTTCCTTGCACACCTAGGGACCTTCTCTCCTCTGACATCCTCATGGCCTTAGATTTTACCAAGGTGAGAGGAGAGTGCAACTCTGCCCTCCTAAGCCACGCAATTTTGCTGTTGTTGCCACTCAGTAAATGTTGCATTTGCTAAAAATGCAAAGCACGGGATTCCCTGTGTCCTCTCCAGAGGCCTCCATGTGCAGTGTCATCATTTGGATTCTACTAGAGTAGAAATGACCTTGGCCTTTCCTTGAATAATTTAATTTCAATCTAAAGCCCTTTTTAAGCACCACCATCTTCAAATTTTGCAACCATAGGGCTGAGCTAGGGCCCATTCTGGGGCTGAGATACCGTACACGCAGGAGGACCCAAGTTCAGTCTCCAGGACTATGCAAAATGTGGTGGATGGCGGCACGTCTGGGATCCCAGAGTAGAGAGTGCATCCCTAGAGTTCACTGGTCAGACAGCCCAGCCTACTAGTGAGAGACCTGTGACAGACCCTGTCTCAAGATACAAGGAGCTGGAGAGACGGCTCCTCTTGCTCCACAATCAGAAGAAACTGAGTTCAGATTCCATCACCTACCTAAGAAACCAACAGTCCAGTGCAATCCTGTAACTCCAGTTTCGAGGCAGGGAGAGACAGAGGCATCACTGGGGCTTGCTATCTTCCAGGCAGCCAAGAAACTACACACATCAGGTTCAGGGAAAGATCCTGCCTCAAAGGAACCAGAGGGAGGTGTTGGAAGAGCACACCTGACAAGCACATATATCCAAATAGACAACAATACATGCATCGATCTGCAAATAAATCCTCAGAAAAAGAAGATAAAAACAAGGTAGACATCTCCTTCAAGGTTTGACATCTGACCTTCATACATGCACCCTAAAAACCTGTGATCCTAAGAACAGCCCTCCTCCTTCCTCCCTCCTCCCTCCTCCCTCCTCCCTCCTCCCTCCTCCCTCCTCCCTCCTCCCTCCTCCCTCCTCCCTCCTCCCTCCTCCCTCCTCCCTGGGGAAAAACCTGCCCAGCCTTGCTTGTGGGTAGGTGTACCATGTGACAGAGTTCTCATTAAGTAATACAGTGATGGGTACAACTTCCAGATCATCTGTTTAGAGATGCCAAGGGCTCTGTTTTAAATAATTCAGAGAGGAGGTAGGGCATGGGGCATCTTTGAAAGATAGAAGTAGTGTCTGTGGGGCCCTCTGAAAGTAAGTAGTTGGCCTACGTGGCTGTGGAGAGGTATGATATGACATCGTGCAATGGTGTTTTTAATTGCTTTGTAGCTAGAGTTTTCCTGCCTTGCCCACAGTCAGGACAAAACTTTGTCACCCGCCAGTCCCACAGCCGCTCAGACCCAACCAAGTAAACA